AAGGCTTGGACCCCAGCTGTGAAGGCTTGCACGCCAGCTGTGAAGGGCTTGCACCCAGCTGTGAAGGCTTGGACCCCAGCTGTGAAGGCTTGCACCCCAGCTGTGAAGGGCTTGCACACCAGGCGTAAAAGGTTTACACCCCACCTGTGAAGGGCTTGTGCTCATGCTCTATACTCTCTGCAGGGGTGCACTGTGGCTGTGCAAACCATGTTTCTGCTTTGCCAGCTGCTCCCTGTGAGCTCCCCCACACTGGGTACCATAGAAGGAGACCAGCAGGCTGGAGAAGGAAGAAGGGACTTGCTGCTTCGGATTCTCCTCCTGCTCCTGACAAGTGGGGCTTCTTCACCCTGGTGGCAGCAGCTCCGTGAAGCAGCTGTAAACCCAAAATTCAGATTGTCAATCTTGCAGAATCAAGGGCTCTGCACCCCCACCCTGAGCAGCAGCACCAGCCAGGCAGGGCCTCCCCTCAGGGATGTGGGGGACTCACCCTCCCAGCTCAGAGACCCCAGCACCAGCTTCTGAGATTCACCCTCTGTTCTGTGTGTTCCCGGCCCCACGGTGATGGTGTGTCCTGCGCTTGCTGTCCTAGCATGCTCCTCACTCATTCAGGAGGGAACAGCTTCATGTGACAGTGCTTTAGATTAAACTCCCTCTGCTCAACTATCTGCAGTGGCTTCGACTCCTGCCTGGACCCTGGCTCTGAGGCTGATGTCTTGACAATGGACTCAAGGGGACGGGGCACAGGGAGAAGTCAGGGGCTGCTGCAGTAGTCCAGGTGGGAGGGCTGGGCAGTGGCCTATGCCTTAACTTGTCTTCAGACAGTGATGTGAGGCTGCAGGATGTGTCTCCTTGCCGACGGACGCCTGGGCAATTGGAACTGGCTCTCAGAGACAGCGTCCTACATTTAGAGTGTGCCCTAAAGAGGTCCTAGGAAATTTCATTGCAGATGCTTCAGTGAAGACTATTTTGCCTCAAGGCAGGCCTGTGAAGAGCCATTGTTGTGTAGATATGGCCTTCCCTCCTCCTTGGGTGACAGTGACCACCTAGGATGCCAATTCAGGGAAAGTTCCTCTCCATTAAAAACTCGTGTCTTTTTGTTAAGAGTTTTAGTGCATTTGCTTTAGGAAACTGCTTAAAATTTCTTCCTTGAGTAGCGGCTTATGCAATGACTGAACAGAAGCCGAGTCTACCTCAAATCGATGTGGTCTTTTAGTGACGATTGTGATATTTTGGGAATCGTTGTGGTGTGCTCTTGGATGAGAGGTGTTATATTATGAAAAATAGTTCTGAGGTTTTCAATGGGAAAATAACTAGTTTTACTTCCTGAAAATGAACATCTGAATGTATATGATGGAATGAGAGGAAAGGAATGTTGGGTTACGGAGGCTCACACTATGTTTTAATAGCTTGTTCTTTCAGACTGCTCTTAAATTCTTGTCCAGTTACACACATACGGCGAAGCGTTCCAACTAACCACAGCCATAGGGGAGCTGCTGCTCATGCACTGTCGGCCTGCGTGTCCACATCCGGGAGAAGCACAGACTGTAATTGGCCCAAATGCCATATTTCCAGTAAAGTATAAAATAGGTCATTTCTAATTTCTTTTAAGCTTAGTAATGAGCATAGCCACATTCATCATGCATCAGTAATGCTCTTTTGTAAGCATCCTGGTGCACAGTCATTAAAATGATCTCTTCCCAGAGTCACACCGATTGTTTTCTTGGTTAAGTTGGCCATGAGAACTTGTTTATCTCATTTCATCATCACATTAACAAGAGGACTGTATACGTCAACAAGTGACGGCCATATTTCCCTATTTTTATATTATGTTTTATATCATTAAATGGTTTATTTTTAGAATGAAACTACATAAATATTTTATGATTTATTGATGTCTTTAAAAATCATAGGTGTTTTTTCTTTACATATTTTTAAAACTTGACTGGCTATTACTCTTTTTTTCTGTGTCTGAATAAGATATTTGCATTTTTTATGATGTAAATATATAATACTAGACAGCTAATTTGAATTGAAAAAATAAAAAATATGTTTTTTAATGAAACCATTTTATTGCACAAAAAACTTCAGATTTTCAGAAATAATAGTCACTTAAATTGATATGATTGCTTTAAAATATATTATTTCATTAGCTTTAGATCTTGCTGTGCTTGTTTTAATAAAATGATTATTGATACAGATAAAACTCCACCCTCTATCCCTCTCTCTCATTCTTCTTTGATAACAACTACTGACTCTGATGTGAATCTTTCCCAAGTATGCATTAAAAAATATATGCGGCATTGTTTAATGTGTCGCACTCTCTGACATAGTGGTATCAAACCATACATGTTTCTCTGTAAACTGATTTTTACTCCACATTACATGTATGAATCTTATCCATTTTTATACGTTTCTAATATGTGCATTTAAGCCTCTAAATTTCCTTCTGAATACTGCTTTATTTGCACTTTGCAAGTTCTAGCATATGGTACTTTTATTATTTAGCACTAAATATTTTATAATTTTCATCATGAATTTTTTCAACCTAGGCTTTATTTAGATGTGTGCTTTCAGATTTCCACATGTATGAGCTCATTTTTGATAATATTTTTTGTTACTGATTTCTAATTTTATTGCGTTGTGTTCAGAGCACATGCTCTATATAGCACTGATTTCCTTGGTATCTGTTGAGATTTTTGTATTATTGAGAAACTTGGCTCTCTGGTTCATTTTTATAAATATTACATGTGTGCATGAAAAGGACGTGTTCTTGCTGACCATTGAATGCATGTTCGCATACACGTTCATTGGCCCGACCTTAGTCATTGTATTCAAATTATTCAAGTTTCCTGATTTTTTATATGCTTGACTTTTTTTAATTAGTGAGAGAAATGTATTAACATCCCCTTCTACAATTGTAATCTTGTCAATTTCTTCTTATAATTCTATTAATTTCTGCTTTATGTATTTGCAGGCTGTATTGTTAGGTATATTTCAGTTCAGACTTCTTGTATTTTCAAGTTCAGTTGTTCCTTTTATCATTTTTAGAAACTATTTCTAATTAGGTGTTCTTTGCTTTACATCTGTTTTTTCTAGTACTTATATAATCAACCTTGCCTCCTTTTACTTCGGATATGCTGTTTTTCTCCCCACCCTTCACATTCAACCTTTAAAAATAATATGTTTTAAATGTTTTTCTTGAAATCCAATGTAAGAGTCTCTTCTACTTGCTGAGTTTAGTCTATTTGCAATTATTGTGATCACTCATAACATTTGATCTTATTTTGTGCTTTCCTTTCCACCTTTTAAAAGAAAAACTTCTGCACTTTCTATTTATCATGAATTTTCTTTGCTTCTTCATTTCTTTTTCCTCAGCCTCTATTGGATCGATCAAAAATTTTTTTAATTCTCCTTTTTTTCCCTTGAAAGTTTTGACCATTGTATATTTTTTCTATTCTATTCCATTTTTTTTTACTGTTCAGCTTCAAGAAACTAGCAATGTTGTAAGGTATTGTAGCTATGCAATCATCCCTCTGTCTGTCCTTCTGTTAAACTAGATCTTTGTTTCCTTCTTCTTATACTCAGTGCCTTATGAAGTCCCAACATTTAGTAGACGATCTCTAAAAGTCTGTTGAATGTCTGTTGAATTGTTTGTGTGTTATATTACGAGTTATCAAGCTCTCCAACCCAGTCCTAGTTTGTGGAACACTAAGCTATGTTGATCTTAGCTGTGTGGCAATGAATGGACCTATCTGTATGTCATGTTTCTCACTGAAAATGAGTATAAAACAGTTTATACTTCATAAGTTTGTTGAAAGGATGAAATGTAAAGTGTTTAGAATGCTGTCTGGCACAGAGTTAAAACTCAATATAAATATTAGTTTGTTATTGTTACTATTGAAATAAGGCCTATTTATGTAGGCCTTTATTTCCTGTTTGTAAATGAAAAACCACTTCTAGGTGTGTGTATATTTTAAGCATAAATGTTTATGGATATAGATATAGTTCATTAAATTTGTCTTAATATTTTGGATATTCTTGACATAGAAAGAAGACGGAAATCATTATGAACCACAATGTATTTAGGTAATGTCTGGGGCCAATTGGTTCTGTAGACGGAGTGCAGGTCAGTTCCACTCCATGAGACATTTTAAATCACTACAGCGTTTCTTCTGACAGCAGCGTGGGGAGGTGGGCGTGCCAGAGTGCCTTGGTGATCAGGTCAGAGGCAGGACCTCAAAGGGACCAACATCTGAGGTGACACATGCTGGGTTTCACCCGAGGCATCGCACAGGCACCTGCTCAGAGTGTCTGAGTTTGATAATCGGCAGATTAATAACTGACCTCAAACTGTAAATACCTATTAAGGGCATCTTTCAGATAATTTATTGAATATGGATTATGATCTATACTTTAGATCATTTTGATGATAAATTTTGGTGTATTAATATCGTAGTCTTTTGATCTTTACCGTTTGTAGTTCTATAACTTTCAGTGGCATTACATATAGATAAAACATGCATCAATGGTTCTTAAGGTCAAAATGTGCTGTTAATAACTACTCACATGGAAGTTTTTGGAGTCCAACTCTGAAACTGATATAAATAAGAAAAAACATTTGCGTTAATTTCTTACTTTACATTCAATGTTGTTTGATATCGTTAGTCTGATGTTTATTAAGTCAGCCTTTAAAAATACAACTAGATTTTTCCCCTTACAATTATAGGGATCGTCATTTACGACCCGGCAATCTCAGGTTTATAATCTTTTCACAACCACAGCCGTTGGTGATGGGATAAGACTGTGGGACTTGAGAACCCTGAGGTAAGGCCGTCCTGTTCGCAGATTGCAGTTGGAGGTGAAGCTAGAGAGACCATATAAAACGTGTTTCTAGGAGAGCTCATAAAGCACTTAGCTTTATCTATAAACTCAACTTGATCATTTTTTCCAAATATGACAAGGTTGTGGTGAATCTATTCATACTGACCAATCTAAGAAAAGTCTGATTTATACAGAGAAAAGGGCACATAAATTTGGAATGGTAAAATAACAGGTGCTGGTCTTTCCTCTGCTGCGTGTGTGACATGTGACCCCTGAGTGTCAGAGATGCACAGGAGGCAATCAGATGCCCTTAACTACAGTGACATCTATGTATATTCTGATAATTGTATTATGGCAAATAATCACTAAATATATAATGTATATAAGAAAATATAATAAATATTTATGTATGTGTGTGTATGCATGTATATATATTCACAGGGGCAAAATTAGCAGTGTCTTTGCTCTTCTCTTTAATCACAGCACAAGTATAAAAGCCTCCGAGGTTCACCAGTGTCGTGACTACAGGGGATGTTGCCCACCCACCAGGGCATCTTGGGGGGCTCTCTGTTGACATCATCGTGCCCCTGGAGCCCAGCCCAGTACTGTTAGATGCTTGCAAAGGCTTTCTCAGGAAGGCTCAGGCTATCCCGAACGGTGTCAGAGATTTTCTCAATATAACTAACAACAACTCCCTGACATTTTTTACAATAAAGAAATTTTATATAGCACTTTATAAATAGTCATTGTGAAACTTAACCAGCCTTGATAGAATGTTGCACCTCCCAAAAGTCTTTCAATCATTGACCCAAATAATTTATGATTTTAAAAGGTTTGTTTTTATATTTTTAAAGATCTCTAGAATATGTTAATCATTTAATATTCTTCATATATAAAAGGTTCATTTAGTGTTAGTTTGGTTGTCTTTGTGAATTTGTGATTTTGAAAAGCATTTTAATTACATTTAAAGATCTCCAGAATAACCTGCTTACCGTGTAATAATCCCCTCATAAAAACGTTTCATCAGGGTCTGTCCCAGTGGTGCAAGCGGTTAAGTGCGTGCGCTCCACTGCAGCGGCCTGGGGTTCGCAGGTTCGGAACCCTGGGCGCGCACAATGCACTGCTTGTCAAGCCATGCTGTGGCAGCGTCCCATATAAAGTAAAGGAAGATGGGCATGGATGTTAGCTCAGGGCCAATCTTCCTCAAGGGGAAGAAAAGGGGGGGAGGATTGGCATCGGATATTACCTTAGGGCTAGTCCTTCTCACAAAAAAAAAAAAAAAAAATTCCTTCACTGCTAGTTTGCTCATTTTTGTGAGGAAAAGCAACAAGTCAGTATCTTTCTCCTAATATGTGTTAAAAATTAAACAATCCTCTTTTCTCCTGCTGTTTTACTCCTCGTAGGTGTGAGCGCCGTTTTGAAGGTCATCCGAGCCGCTGTTATCCCTGTGGAATGGCTTTTAGCCCTTGTGGACGATACGTGGCCTGCGGTGCTGAGGACAGACACGTATGTTGGTCTCTTGTCGTAGGGATCCTGGACTCATTCATGTGGAGACTGTTTAATGTGGCTGCACGTTAGGATTAAGTCTGTTCTAGGCTTGACTCCTGGCCAGCGTTGTGAGCCTCTCACACAGTAACAGTATTTTAATAACAATAATGTGTGAGGTATGAAAGGCCCTCATGGGTATTTTAGTGAAGCACGATACTTTAAACGCCAATCACTCATTAATTCATTTCTTTATTCATTTATTAATCATTGCACAAATTGCCTACTCTGTGAAAGACATTGTGTTTCATGCAGTATCTCCTTTGAATTACAAGATAATAACATTAATCTATAAAATACCAGACTGTAGCTACCTAACTGGGAGTGTTCCTCTTAGGTCTCTCAGGGAACAACATGCTTATTTTAATGACATTGCCTCCTCCTCTTCCTCTCCTAACACACATTACACATCAGACATACATATCTAATGGTTGATTTGGAACAGATACTAATATATCCATTTGTCTTTAACATATTTAAAAAGATCTTCTATTAGTTTCCTAGGGCTGCTGTAACAATTTACCACAAACTTGGCATCTTAAAACAACAGAAATCTATTTTCTCATAGTTCTGGAGGCCAGAAGTGTAAAATCAAGGTGTTGGTAGTGTTGGTTCCTTCTCGAGGAGAATCTGCTCCAGGCCTCTTCTACGCCTGCTGGTGGCCATTCATCCTTGGCGTTCTTTCCCTCCAGTCTCTGCCTCCAACTTCACACAGCCTTCTTCCCTGTGGGTCTCAAATATCCCTTTCCTTTTTCTTATAAGGACACTGGTCACTGGATACCCTACATCCAAGCTGATCTTATGATCCTTAACTTAAGTAAATCTGCAGAGATCCTATTTCCAGATAAGATTACATTCACAGGTACTGGGGGTTAGGACTTGGACGTATAATTTTGGGGAACACAGTTTAACTCACTACTGGTCTATAGGGTTATCTAAACAAAAAAGACATGAAGAAGTGTCCAAAAATTCAAGGAAATCATAAAGTTAATTTGGAAAAAATCACTTTACAATTTAACTGTGAGTTAGATTTATTTTTCTAAACTTTTTCTCTTATTCAGTTTAACTGGTGAGAATGGCATTTATGAATATTGAAAACCATTTTATGAAACTTTTAAATAGGAAGAGCTACTCTAAAATTTTACTAGTTCATATCTAACTAAGTGTGGTCTATTGACATCTTTCTCATCTGCTATGATAGACACTTGAGTTCATCTTTAAATGAAGTAGTTTGATCATGTGAAAAATGGTTAGAAATGGATACTTTAGATTTTTTTCAAAAACAATGTATTCTAAAACTTGACTACCATGCAGCTAATTAATAATTTGCAAAATTATTAAGGCAACTTAAAATATTAAAATAAGTAACGTTTACTTGACAATATGAACTATTTTCAACCATTTTGGATACACCTTTTTTCCAATTTTGAACAAAAACCCTGCTGGCACCACCACCACCGCCACCACCAAGATAATGGTATCTTTGGTTTTCCCTCTAAATTGTTTCTCTGTATCCAGTCATGTACTCAAATTTGCTTACCAATCCAAATATGTCCATCAAATTAAATTCTCTTTTAGAACATCTCATTATGTATAATAGCTTCCTGGCTTTCAGGTAGAATATCAAATCCTTATTTGCTTCGAAGACTTGAGCACTACTTCTATATTATCTAAGAAATTCATGAGATAACATAAGTATGGATCTATTCTTTTAGGAGCCAAATGTAAGTAAACTGTGTACATTGAATTTTCTTGAAATTTTTGATCACTTTCTTTTATTCAACATACATGTGAATGTAGCTGAAAAATATAATAGTTGTAATTAAGAGTATAAAGACACAGAAACATTGAAAGTAGAAAGATGGGAAATGAAGATTATGTGAGAATATTTAAGTATACAATAGACTTTAAGGCTTAAGGCATTACTAGAGATAATGAGGGACACAATAATAATAACAATGTCAATCTATATAGAAAATGTCGTAGTTCTAAATCTGTATGCACCTAATAACACAGGTTCAAAATATGTAAAGCAAAAGTAATATAACTCTAAGAAGAAAAAGAAACATCCTCAATCATAATGGAAGACTTTAACAACTTCTTTTAATAGCTAGAAAACAAATTATTGCTGATCATGATGGTTTTCTGTTTAAAATATTCTGCTGGCTCTCCAATATCACATGGAATATAGACCAGTATCTTTTGTGTGGCATACAAGAACCTTCACAATATGTCTCCAACTTGCCTATCAAATTCTGTTTCTATTTCTCCTGTATGTCGTATTTTCTATTCCACTGTGTCATAAAACTTCTGGATATGACAGTCCTTTTTATTAATACAAAAAGATGAGGATGAACTGCAAACATTCTCACAGACAAATAGACCATGCCAGAAAAATGTGTTTTCTAGACAGATGAAAACTAATAATATATTTGCAAATAAGCTGAAGGAAATTAAGAAAAACAAAAACTTTAACAGAGCAGCTAAAGCATAAACAGAAGAGTTTGGAAATGAAATTCCTAGACAACAGGAACATGTGAAATGAAAACTGATAAAAGGAAAGCATTAGAAAAAAATTTTCAGAAATAAAGACCAAATTTGAATAAATATGGTAGAACATAGATACCACAGAGAGCACAATAAGGGAAAAAGAGGATATGAAGGAGAAAAATAAGTAAATAAATCCACATGTGAATAAAGAAAATGATAAAAACATTCAAGATGAAAGGGCAGATATAGAAGTTTGGCAAAAGAGATTCAACCTACATAAAATTGGAGACCATGAAAAAAATTAAAAAAAAAAAAATTGAACAGAACTAATATTTAAAATTATAATTCAAAAATGATTTTTCAGAAATAACTTAAATCTGTATATTGAAAGTGTACCTGGGAAAATTGACCAGACTGGCCAGCACCAAAATGTGGCTTAGTAAATCTACTTGATTATAATTATTAAAAACACCACCAAAAAATATGGATTATGTATTTGGACTGTGTACGTATGGATTGTGTGCTTTTGTGTATCCATATAAAATCTTCAAAAACTTATAAAAGAAAGAATATCAGATTGGCATAAGACTTCTCTAAACCATCATTTTAAGTTAGAAAATATTGGGAGGAACATATTTAATGTACTCTAAAACAGAAAATTTGTGTCAAGAAATTTTACATCCAGATAAGTTGTCCTTTAAGTATAAAACCAGACACACTATTATGAACATTCTAGAATTGAATGACTAGTGTCACCTTGAATCATTCTTGAAGAAAAAAGCTTCAGAAAACCATGGTGAGATTGAAGAAACTTCCACAAAAGCTTCAAGGGGAGCAATGAGTATGTTCAACTGTATAACTAAGACTAAAAGATGAGGATGAGGGTGCCAAAATGCTTTGTAAATGTTATCTCTATTACAGTTTAAAAAATAATACAAACATGTGAGATGTGAGAGTATTCTAGAAAGTAGAATAAGTTTCTTGATTTTCTCATAGATAATAACTGGGAGTAAAAAGCTGTCACTTGAAGCTGACAATACAATTGTACACTCTTAGATTTATTTAAGAGTATAAGTATTAAGATAATTCTAATGACTAAAATTGGATAGTAGTGGGGAAGGACTAGAAAGATCAGATACAGATAAAGCAGTGCTTGGAGGAAAATTTAAAGCACTAAATATTTATACAAAATAAAAAAAGGGAAAAAAAATGAATTAAATATCTAACTTTTTTTCTTTCCTCCCCAAAGCCTCAGTACATAGTTGTCTATTCTAGTTATAGGTCCTACTTGTTCTTCTATGTGAGCCGCTGCCACAGCATGGCAACTGACAGATGAGTGGTGTGGTTCCACATCTGGGAACTGAACCCGGGCCATCAAAGCGGAATGCACTAAACTTTAACCACTAGGCCATGAAGGCTGGCTCAAATATCTAACTTTTATAAAGCCAGAAAAGGAACAAAAAAATAAATTAGAAGAAAGGAATTGATAGAGATAAAAGCAGACAATAAGTTAGAAAAAAGAAAATTAGTAGAATTAATAAATAAATGAAAATGCTTGGTTTTTAAAAAAAATATAAGCTACAAAATAAACTTTAGCTAAATCAGATTTTTGAAAAAGAGAAAAAATTCAATAATTAATTAATAAGAAATGGCAAAGAGAAAAAAAACATGGAACAGAGGAACTTTTGAAAATCATGAGACTGCTTTTCACAGTTTATGCAAATAACTTTGAAAGTCTACATATAAATGGATAACTTGTAGGAAATGTAATTTATCAAAACTTTCCCAAAAAGAAAAATAAACAGGCCAGTTTTCATAGACGAAATAAAAAAATTTTCCAAGAATTTCTCTGCAAGAAAGTGTTAGGTCCAGATGACTTGTCAGGGGACTTTACCAAACTTTTAAAGATCAAGTGGTCTCAATGTTTTTTTTTAACTGTTTCAGAAAAATAAGGAAAGCATGCAAGTTATCTTTTGAAGTGAATATAACTAATATGAAAGTTTGATAAAATTTCAGAAAAGGGGCCAGCCCAGTGGTGCAAACAGTTAAGTGCGTGCACTCCTCTGCGGCTGCTGGGGGTTTGTCGGTTCGGATCTTGGGCGTGCACCGACGCACCGCTTGGCAAGCCATGCTGTGGCGGCATCCCATATAAAGTGGAGGAAGATGGGCACGGATGTTAGCCCACGGCCAGTCTTCCTCAGCATAAAAAGAGGAGGATGGGCAGATGTTAGCACAAGTTTGATGTTCCTCACCAAAAAAAAAAAAAAAAAAATTCAGAAAAAAGCTACATTTCACTTATGAATATAAATTCAAAAATCTTAAATAAAATAAGAATAAATAGGATCTGACAGCACATTAACAATAATTTATCATTAACCAATGTTCATGAATTCAAGGATGGTTCAATATGAAGAAATCCATTAATAAATCATTTGACTAACTGAGCATCATTTGACTAACTGATGTAAAAA